CAGCACATAACAACAACAACAGTAGAAAGAAATACAGTGAATTTCATATCTTGACCTTATGTCCTAAGACCTTGCCCAATCATCTTACAGTTCTCGTAGCTTTTTTGCATATTGCTTTCAGATTTTCTGTGTATAAGATCCTAAGGTCTACATATACTTTTTAACATCTTTTTTCTAATCTGTATCTCTTCTTTTTTTTTTTCCACCTTACCTTAATGTCCTAGTTGGAACATCCAATAGAATACTGATTAGGAGTGGTCAGAATAGACATTCTTGCCTTAATTGCAAACTCAGAAAGAAAGCATTCAATCTTTCACCATTAAGAATGATGTTATCTGTAGTTTTTCATTGATTCCCTTTATCAGGTTGAAGACAATTTCTTATATTCCTAGCTTGCTGAAAGTTGTTATGATTGCATTTTGTCTATAAAGTTTGTACAACTATCTCACTGGTAATCTTTCTCATGTCAGGCTTAGATGAGCATGGCATGTGAAGTAGTTTTGTTTCTTTTTCTTAATAATATAGAGGACTAGGTCAGATACAAGAACCAAAGCCACCATACACATTAGCATTATACACCTCCACATAAAATCATATTTTGGTGAATTGAGTGCACTTTGTGCCACATTCTTGCTTCTGTTACTTTAATTTCTTAGTTTTTTATTAAAATATATGAGTCTTACCTTTTGGCAAGATTATAGGGTGTTTGGTAATGAGATCTTTGTACTCTAAAAATAAATGTAGCCATTAGGTGGTTTTATTATGTTTTGTTAGTGCTATTTTATAACCATCTTGAAAGCATTCAGATTCATTATCCCAGAATGTGTGAGATTTGCAATATTTAAAAAATAGATCTTGATTCAGTACTTGGATAGTTTCACATAGATTCCTCAGTCACAATTTTATATGTAGTCTCATTGTGACTGTCCAGATTGGTTAAACTCTACCTGATGCTCTTTACTGTGATCTTACTATTATTAAGCAAGGAATGATGATGAAGTACAGTTTGCAGTCACTTTTGTTTTGTTATTTTTAATGGACTCAAGGCAAATAAATGAAGAAAAATTAAATGAGAAACATTTATAACCAGAAAGACATATATATAGTTCCATTTTGGAATATCCTAATGTTCTGTATATAATTTGGAGCACATAGAATAAATTTTTAGGGAACGAGTCTTGCCTTTAAGTAGACTTGTAGTATTTCTGTGTTAGCTGTTTCACCTGTGTAAGTTCTGTTTTCCATTTACAGTGTCAGTACCTTAAAGGCCAAGGGTTTTGTCATGTGTGTTTAGAAAATATAAATTTGATTTAAGTTTCCCCAACCATTATTTTTAGTTCTCAAAGTGTCATGCCCTGAAGGCCTTCTGTATATGTTTTCTTTCCCTTAAATGCCATTACAAGTACCTTAAGCCTGGTTAACCTTGACTTTTACTGCAGTTCAACCCAATCCCCACTTACAGCACACCTTAGACACGCACGTATTATGTAATTGTTGATGTAGCTATTTTCTCTTCACCACTGAATAGGAACTCTGAGGACATTGACCATTATCTTTTTCTTTAATCTGTATTACCAGGACCCACCATAGGACCTCATATGCAGGAGTTCAGTGAAAGTGCACCTCCTGATTCTGCATGACCAATGTAGTTTGCTTACTCACTCTTTTGCAAGGTGATTGACACCTGTGATGTGTAGGTTAGTTCTTGTTTCATTCAGAAATTAATGATTCAACATTAGAAAATCAGTGTAATACATCACATTAATAGAATAAGGGGAAAGAACCATGTGATCATTTCAGTCAGTGCCCAAAAGGCATTTGACAAAATTCAACAAGCTTTCCAGATAAAAATGCTCAATAAGATAGGAATAGCAGGGAAATCCCTCAATAAAATAAAAGGCATTTATGAAAAATCCACAGC